ATGCCTGCTCAGTTTTTAGCACCCAGTTGGGCTTCTCCTCACCCTCTCCCTGGTGTAGCTCTGCCTCCGTCTACCCCTTCATGTTGCCATTGACCATACCTAGGAGTCAGAAATTTCAGGCACTGTTTTTTAGTCCTGGGTCCAGCTCTTACATTCTTTCAATGCCAGGACTAGAAAACTCCCCTGAATCATCTCCTGAATCAAACAGGAACATCTTAATTTAGTAGTTATCTCCACCACTCTGCCTGGGAAACTCTTACACGCACTAAGGCACCTGAATACCAGACTACCTGGCAGTCAGGCTACACTTTACATCAGGAATTCAACAGGCCATTTTATATATTCTTCCACCCTTCATCACACGACACTTCTCTCTGTATTCTGGCTCAGCAAAGCTGTAGGAAAACATACTGTCATCAGACATAGGCATGGGTAAGACCTATTGGGGCATCAAGTCTAACTGTCTGTATTCAGTAAATTCAACACAAGGTGTACCACCATCCCCTTGTGGGCTGCCTTTGACGCCTGGTTTCAGCCTCCTGTGTTGTGGCATGGAGAGAGGTTAACATATGGGCTAGCAGAAAAACTTCAGGTCTCACAGGGAACCGCCTCAGGGCTCAAATGAGTCATCCAGGGGGAGTATTGGGATGAAGGATCCAGAGCACTTGGCAGCATGGGCATGGCTGTATTCAGACAAAGCTTAAGAGGTCAGTGATTGTATCTTTAGGTGAATGTTTAGCTTTTGTTGGCTTTTGATGACTCAGGGTGTCTTTTATGAGGCAGAATTAATGCAAGCGCTGCTCTTTTTACAGTGGCCACATTGCCCAGGAAATGAAATGCCATAAGGGGAGCAAAGCTCATTAGTTTGGTGCCATAAATGGTTCTCCAAGGTCTCAGAAACCCTATGATTAACATAAACATAGACAGAGGCAATTACAAATAAACACACATATAAAAACCAGCTTTCCATCTAAAAATGTGGTCTGCAATATCCCTTTTTGGCTGTAAACAGATGTGGTGACCTAGAGGTAAGGGACATTTCATACCAATTGTGACATAAACCAAAGCCTGAGGACGGAAAACAGCTAGTCCAGGGTGAAAGTGAGGACAACAGAGCATGTAATGTAGTTACCAAGGTAGCATCTAAGGATTTTGAGATTCACCCTCAGAATTGCATCCTTTTTGGAGCAATTTAGAGCAGATGCTGCCCCAGTATGTTTTCTTCACACTGCAGTCCTCCCTCAAGTGGTTGCTGTTGGGTGGACGCGTTGACACTCCTTATGATGGGGCAGAGTACTTCTAATCTTATAAGAACCATCTCAATGGCTGCAAAAGTGGAAACCTTGTCAGATTTTCTAGTAAGGTCCATAAAATTCTTCAGAAGATAATCTTCAAGAGGAGGATGAGAATGGGGGAAGATGGGAGATGTGGGCCAGCCCTGGGGAGACTTACTGTGTCAGCGTCATGGGCCCTTAAAGCTGCTCTTCAGCCAGCGCAGAGCAGTGAAATGCCCTGGTCACAGGTCTACGTGTATTCATAGGAGATTGCACACTTTTTACTCGGCATCTCTCCCTTAAACATTGTGCACTTATTCAGAACAGATCTGAACACCAAGAACGAGGCATGTTTTGTAAAAACCAAAGCACGGCCTCCGTGCCTATCTCTGTGGCAACCATGCCAAGAGACAACTGTGTTGATGCCGCACTGGGTAAATAATGAAGGAGATGGCAATGTTCAGGCAAAGTCAAGCAGAAAGCCCAGGGTCCAAGCCAGCATCCTGACTCTAGCAAAAGTCCCATCAAGTACACCAGTTTGCTGGTAACCTGCCCTCTAGGAATATCCCCTAGACTCCTGGTAGTGAAAAAGCAGCTTGAAGCACCTCTTCTAAACTGTTTTTTAACAGGTATCGTCACAACTGTAGGTGCTCCGTCTGTTCAAGCAATAGCAAAATCCACTTTTACTCTAAATGCCAGGCTGACATCCTGCAGTAATGAGTTTCACAGGCTGATTACTTGTTGCATGATAAAAATATGGTGCCAGCAGCTGACTCAGAGAGGCAAGGGGGAAAAAAAAGGGTAGTGCTACTTGTTTTCTCAGAAAAGAGAGAGGGAAGGAACAGGGTTCACAGTCCTGCCTTGGGGTTAACTCAGTGGAAGAAAAAGGCATGGAAGTTTGCTAACTGACCTGGTGGAGCAAGACATGGGTGTGTAGGTTGTAACCGTTCTAAGTTACAAGTCCTCCAAAGGCCTTCAAAGGAGGGTCTTGGGGAGTTCGTATTGTTACTGTTCTGCAAAAGGCTCTTACCTTACAGCTAAGCCCAGCCTAAAGGAACCATGGACTTTAGTGGCTTACATCTGACCTCTGCCATGATGTCATCAGTGTAACAGTTTTACACAAAATTAGGCGTGTAATTGTGTGTTAAATAGTGATGGTTTGCTTGGATTGCCCAACTAATGAAGCAGGCAGCATTAATGCTCCCACATATGGACCGCTCCAGGGCACTGACACTGTAAGGGAGTCTGAAATCACTCTGACTTTGGGGGGGAAGACAGACACCCCTTTTGCTCCTCTGGCATCCCCTTGGTGGGGCAGAACCCTCTCGCCCAGGTGATGCTCCTGTGGTTTGCTGTGAAGCTTGCAAATCTGCCTCCCTGCCCAGGCAGTCCTGCCCAGGTGTCCCTGTTGACTCAGACAAGCAGCAGAAGCTGCTGATCACCTCTAATGAGTGCCCAAGATTTGCTTAATTAAGAACAGACTCTCTAATAGCATTCACCAGCATCTCCCCCTGGCTCTGGGACCGCTCAGGCTGTGGCAGCACAGCCAGCTGGGCTTTCCTCTCCTGCAGTTCACATGTGACATCCTAAATGGTGCAGTGGCAAATAAGTCATTTTATTTTCCAGCACTAAGGCGCTCAACCTGGCACAGGTCTCAGTCCAATACCCAATGTGACCTCCAGGCCCTTGGATAGTTGCTCGGAGCCCTCCTGCATTGCTGGATGTAGACACACCAGCTCGTTCGGCGCAGGCTCGGGCGGTCGCTGTTGTGCTGTCGGGGGCAGCATCGGTGCTATCTTATGTAGCAGAGTAAGCACTAGCCATGATCATTATAAAAACACTTCTTAGTCAGTGGTTAGATTGATTGGATCCTGGCAGATGCTATTTCACCTTCCAAACTACAGTTATTTCAGGGAGGAAATGCCTCTTCACATTGTTTATTCCCCATACGTAATTACAGCGGTTGTAAGGAAAGAAAAGACTCTTTTTTGGCTCTCAGAGGTGCAGTGATGACCACAGAGTAAGGGAAAGGGTTGGGGAACATTCCCCTCCTTCTGCCTCCCATCTTTTAGGCCATCTTCTTGTCTGATTTGCTGTGCATGAACGCAGCACAAAAGCTTTGCCTGTAATTTCAAGGAAGGTCCCTGCCTGCAAGCCCCAGTTCTGTGCCAGCTTCTTAGAGCATCACAGCAACAGCGAGCAGCAGGATCCCAGCAGGGAGCAGGTGACGGAGTCACCAGTTTGGCCAGTTTGCCCAGCCAGCTGCCCAACCAGGGTATGAGTTTGGACTGGCTCTGCGTCATGGACCCTGTGGTGGGGCTCTGGGCTGACTCCAGATGGAGAGCCCGGTCCCTTGGCACCTGTCAGCCTGTCTGCATATGGATGGATTTTGGCTCCTGTCCACGTCAGTCTTCCCCTGCAGCCACCTCTACAGGCTTTCAGTATTCTCCCAGGTTCACCACTATGCAAATATTGAAATTAGCCCTTTGCATGATTATGTAGATAGTGACATTACAGACTTTTTCAGGCGAGGAGCACTGAGGAATTCACGTGCCTTCTTTGCTGACAGCATCGACAGCCAGATTTATTTTTCAGTAAGCTAAAGAATGGCCTCCGGTGTATGAAAAACTTCGGCTTTAAAGCATTCAGTATCTGAAATATTTCTTTTTTTTTTCTTAAGCCTTTCTCCAAATGCAGCAAAAGTACGCTGTGCCATGAAATAATGTGAAATACCGCTCTCACCAAGAGGGTCCCAGTTCTCCGAGATGGAGATTTTAACTGAGCCTCACTAAAACCAGGAGCAGATTAGGAGCTACAAGGGCAGCTGTAGCCCCACTAGCAGGTCCAAGCCAGGCTATACTTCCAGCCTGGCAATGAAGTTACCACCTGGAAAGACAGTTACTCAACTTCAGTTGATCTAGAGTAACCAAAGCCTGCTAGGAATAACAGATATAGTGAGTGTGACCTGAATCAGGGCAAGAGAGCAGCAACACTTTTTGAGATCCTTTCAACTCTGTATTTCTGATTCTATGAGATCTAATTGAAGTACAGGGTTCAAATTCAGTCATTAAAATGAAACCCTTCAGATTTTTCCCCTCTTCAGAAGACCCTGAGGTCCTGAGAGAAGGCAGAAGGTCTCATACCCTGCTGTGAAACAAAGCAGTCCCTGGGCAGGAATCTAACTGGTCTGGCCAAGTGGCCTCAGGACAGTAATTTCTCTGTGGGAAAAAAGGTCTTTGTCACATCAGTTACATTTCCACAAAGTGCTGCATTTATGTCTCATACTGGTGCCTCGTTCAGACACTTTCCTTGAGAGTCTTATCGCACTGAGAGCTGCTGTACAGGCAATAAGCTGTAATGAACGTGTGTGTGCTTAAACAATAGCCACTTTCCACCCCCAAAATACTGCCATAAGAGCATTGGATGCAGCTGTTACCTTTTCTTAAACTGCTGATTATTTCTTGTCCATGGTACAAATCCTTTGCAGTGTGGAGCATAGCTGAGCCTGATTAGCCAGGATCACATTTTACCGGTGGGGTTAATGAGATTTATCCTCCATTCCCACCCACTGATCCGTCATTCCCATTATTTTATGTCTCACCTTGAGTTAACAAATGGTCCATCGTCAGAGCACACTGGGCACAGCCATAGGGGATTTGGCACGCTGGTATAATGTGGTCTGCCACACTGGATGGGCAGTGACAAAAATTATCACTCTTCCCCTAGGTCCTTCCGTCGTCCCACTGCAGCAAGCAAAGCCAACACTGGGCAACCCTCTAAAATGTTTATTTGGACCAGTGGCCGAAGCTCTACATCTTACAGACATGATGAGAAAAGGTAAATGGCATCTATGCTGATTGTCTCTTACGGGTTTGAATCTTTAGGAGTGTGGCCTGTAGCTTCTCTTTCAACAGTGGCACTAAGGAGGGAGAAGGGATGCAAGGGGTGCCCCCCCTTGCCTCTCACCCCCCCCGGCTACTGCTCCACCCACAACAAGACCAGCTGATGAGCACCAGGGTTAATGTGCCAAGCCAAAACAGAGTGGAGGGACAATACCAGAGCCATGGCCAAAGTCTTCCTTGCTCCCAGGACATCAGCAGCACACCATGACCATCCCTGAGGTCAGCACACACACATCGCACATTTAAAAGCACACTAATCCCCAGCCACAGGTTTGCAGCCTCAGCTCAAACACCTGTGAAGCCTTTATGCCTTTTGCAGGTGTCCTGCTTCCAGCCATCAGCCCACACTGCTCCCACACCTCCTTCCAGACAACACACACACAGTGCCTCCTCTCCCCCCACCAGATCATTGCCCTGTCTAACTTTTACACATGTGGATGATGCATCCAGCTGTCAGAGATGTTTTCTGTTCATATTCATGCACGTGTGAGGATGACCGTGTGCACAATGCATTGCACAGTGTCTGGGGGATGACAAGCAGCTTGAAAGAGATCTGGTAGCCCACCAGCCCACTTAAGTGGTGTTGCTGGAAGGAATAGGCTGAAGGAGACAGAGGAATAAATGAGTTGCTGGGTCTCCCAGGGGAGCAGGGAATTACACAGAAGAGGAAGAAAGGGAAGGAGAAGTTTTAAGTCCACAGACAAAGGCAGCACTCAGTTGGGAACGAAAGAAGTTAAATATCACTGATGAAAGAACAGTTGTCAGTAATGCTCAGACTCATCCTTCCAAAATCTCTCTCCTTTGTAGTGAGATTTGCTGGACAGCTTGTCTTGTCACAACAGGACACATTCCCCTTTCTTTTCTTTCCCCCTTCCCTCCCTTGCCTCCTCTCCTTCAGTTCCCCTTCAAGTCACTATTAAATGTAATCACAAAAAATCAGTCTCTGGTGAAACAAAAACAGAGGTCAATGTATCTACAGTGCCAATTAGCAAAACACACTCTTCAGTTATTCTAATGAGACATTACCGCTTGCATCTGCTTGAGAAAATGCACTCATGAGTTCAGGCAGCAGAGCTACCCTCAGGACGCCAAGTTTCTTTGGAGAGTTGGCCTATTTGCTGAACTTTTCTGCAAAGGTTGCATAGGTGTTCAGCTCTTTTGATAATCCTATCCCAAACAGATATTTTGAAGTCACAAAGGGCAGCTTGGCGGCAGGTTTCCATGGACTTTTGGTTGGAGTTGGTTATCTAACTGCCTCATGTACTTCTGCAAATCTCTTCTTTAATTGAATTTTCCCCAGGCTAATGTTCTTCTCGTTAAGACACTGTCATGGACAGGATGATCCAAGGTTAGACACTTGGAGGAGACATCTGCCCACACGTCGGGCTGGCTGGAAGCCATGTGCTCCTGATTAGCATGGCCTTCAACTCACACCATGCCTTTCCGTGGGACTTACTAACTTGGGCTGAGCGCTGTGCTAAACAGGGCTCACCGGCGTCTGGTCAGCTTAAACCCTGGGCAGAGCTCTGCCTGCAGAAACAGGGAGGTAGGGAGCAGTATCTCTGTACTTGCACACCAGCCATGGTAATTTCAGGTGCTTTTTCAAGCCTCTGGGTGGGTCTATTTCCCAGGTGGTCCTGTAGAGCCACACAG